ATGACGAACAGTTCAGTTTGTAGGTTAAAAGGGCCCAGTTGTCGCTGCATGCTTTAATTTGTATGTATGAGCTATGGTTGTGTTTTAAACAACAGGGGCATTACCACCTGCACCAGTAAGCTGGTGAACACACCATCAACGCTAAAATTTTCAGTACAAATTAAAGCATTATGCTTGGCTTCAAGGGGAAAAGCTTTGCAAATCTAATAAGTTTCTTTGGGGAAAAGAGATAGTGATTTGGAAATTTTGCCATGGTACGAGGAAGTGTCATTTTCCAGTTTTTCATACCCTTTTTGGGAAGAGGCTTATTTGTGGTCATGAACGTTGGCTTCTGTGCAAGAGTATAAACATTAATGAAGGCATTTCTTTCAGTGACTCGGTTTCTGGGGCTTCGAATATTAAGCTTTATTAATTTATCTCCAAATAATTTAGGTCCATCGATGATCGTCTCCCCGAAAAATAACCAAGTTAAAAAAAAACATTTCCTTATAACAGACAATATACTCCAACTAATAATCTTACCTAATACAATAGTCTGTCGCCAAGATGGTTCTAACAGAAAATAAAAGTGTTTTTTAAGCTTTACGATTTTCCAACCAATTACATTTACGAGAAAAAAGGATTCTAAATCGGAAAATCTTATTTTTATATGTGCCAAATAATGTTTTAAGACAAATTCCTTTAAATTGTAATATTTTAACTATAGAGGAGAAAATGTGAGTGAAGTGAACGTTAAGGTCAAGAGACAGGTATTGTGAATATAGTCATGAAGACATGTTAAACCCCCAGAGGTTATGGTGTCCGTCTGAGTATGCAGTCAGGCTGACACACAGGTATGTATACAGACTGACCAGGTATATTTACAGTCAGACTGACACAGGGATGTACACAGTCAGGCTGACACACAGGTATGTATACAGACCCGACACAGGTATGTTTACAGTCAGGCTGACACAGGTATGTATACAGTCAGGCTGACACACAGGTATGTATAAAAGACTGACACAGGTATGTTTCAGTCAGGCTGACACAGGTTTGTACACAGTCAGGCTGACACAGAGGGAAAGTATACAGTCTGACACCGCAGTTCCTGGAATGAAAGGTAATTAGGTTTGATCGAAGGAAGGGGGTAAGTCAAATTCCTTGGATCACGAGCCCTTCAGATCCATCACGGCACCCCTCTTCATACATGGCCTCATTTGAAAAGCATATATTTATACATGTTAGCAAATGAGATTCCTTGACGCTGGTTGCGGGGGGGGGGGGCTCTTGATCCAAAGAATTGGACCTGATCTTCTTTTTCTTGGATCGAGTCTGATTTCCTTCATTTCCCTCAAGCTGTGTATGATGCCCATGGATTTAACGTTTTTTCTTATGAATACTAATAATAATAATGGTTAATGAGGACTAGCAAAATGAGCATATTGTGACTGAGCACTTGGCAGGTAAGTCCCTCAGAGTGCGAGAAACTTGTCTGAGTTTGGAGTCATTATTAGCTGGAATGTATCAGGTGTTACTTTGATGATCATTAACCGTGAACACATTCACTCACCCTAAAAACTACTCATGATCACCGTGGAAATATTAATTGGGTTTCCCGTTTCTCAAAATATCCTCAGGAAATTCGTGGAAATCATAAAGTTTGTCTGTTTTTAAAATTTCTTAATATTGTCTTCGTGATATAAAAAATCTAGATAGGTTATAAAATAATAAAACAATGTTGTTAGCAAAGGCAATCAAATAAAGTTTTATTTTGGTACATCTGTAGCACCTTGTTGTCTTCTCGGGATTATAAAAGATATAATTCTCTCCTCGGCCTGTACATTCATCTGGATCACCAATTTACAACCAAATGAGGAAATTCTCTTTCACTGGAACTGCCATGATGGACACTAGAACTCAGGATTTAATGGCTGTTGGGTGCAGTGAGTCATTAAAGCTGTCATTTACCTCTACGAGGATAATCAGTAACACAGTAACATGAGTACCATAAGAGGATATAGGTAAGTACTGGGGTGGCAATAGAGTTGTAAATGAGTGGAACAAACTCCCATGTTGCGCCAATTGAGGCAAGAACTTTGGATTCTTTAAATGTAGGTTGGCGGGTACATGAGTGAGTGTGAGTTGGGCCTGCCTAGCATGGACCAGTAGATCTGTTGCAGTGTTCGTTCTCGTGTTACATATGCAGATTCCTGTGAGATTTTTTTTGAAAGTGAAGCAACAGGCAGACTGCCAAGACGGTCAGGGTCCTGCATGCAGTCACTGTGACTCTAGTGACTGTTTAAACTTCTCAGTTATCAGATTTACAAGTCATGCTGGATTCACCACACACATGAGCAGTGACGCAGCACTAACCAAGGAAAAAAAAATTTCACATAGCTTCACTGGTATCAGTCTCATAGTAGTGACTGGCTTGATCAGGGGTTTTTAGGAAGGGCCTTTGTTTTTTAATAACTGATCTTCAAACTGCTGTGGATTAGTACCCGGTGGTGTACATGCAAGAATCTTAACTTTCGATTTTCACCGCCAGTTGTTTCACTACATCTGTGACGTGAAGCAACTTAGTGCAGATATTGAAGAATTAGACACATGTGCAACATCTGGGTATCTTTATTTGTAGGCGTTTCAGTGGCTTTATCAATATAAATTCAAGGACATAATAGGAAGAATATAACTATATATAAAAGATGAGGTAATCATTCCTTCAGCAAATATTAAGGTGTAAACCCGTCAAGTCTCGTGGTGGCTTCATTCACTCGCAGATGAAATAATTTTTTCACAGTAACTTTTAATGTGGATCTTTGTACCTCTGAAAGGAGGTGCCTTGATGGCGGTAAGGGGCTCTTGATCCAAGGAGCTGGACTTATCCTCCCCTTCTTGGGATTGAACCTGAATGCCTTCTATTCCCCAAGTGCTATATGACCCCTACGGGTGTAGTGCTTCTCCATGATTAAAATAAAATATTGGTCTTTATTAAGGTTCCAGATATTACATTCAACTTGGTAAAGGACGGCATTTATAAAAGGAATATTGTTATTATTGTTTTAATTAATTAATTTTGCTTGTTATTGCAAAAAAAAAAATAACGTTATATTAACTGTATTCACCATTGTATATTTTTGCTGACGTATCACTGTGTCTTTATAAGTCTACATTTTTACCTTAACTTATTATGATTAATCAACATTACGTTGTCTTACCTATGAATCAGTTCGTAGGAGACTTTTTAAAAGTAATTCGTATCTATTGAATTAAAAAATAGAGAGTATATAAAAATCGTGTGGGATATAATTAAGCCTCGCTGATACAATTACGACCTTGAAGATTGAGACACTTATGCAACATATGGGAATCTTTATTCAGGAAACGTTTCGCCACAGAGTGGCTTCATCAGTCCAATACAAAGTAGAAGGGTGTAAGGAGAGGAGTTTTAGGTAATCAGTCCCTCAGCCTGGAGTCGATGTGTTCAGTCCATCAATCTTGTAGAATGTACAGCATAGGGCCGTAGACGTGGCTTATATACTGTAGTCATGTGAGGCGAAGCAGGAGGAAGCGGGGTTATAGTGGTACCATCCACTAGTCGAAGTAGGTCTTGGACAAGTGTTGAAGAATTCTTTGTAACAAGATCCCATGATGCTGCAGTGTCTGACATGGGATCTTGTTACAAAGAATTCTTCAACACTTGTTCAACCTTTGAACGAAGACCTACTTCGACTAGTGGATGGTACCACTATGACCCCGCCTCCCCCTGCTTCGCCTCACCTGACTACAGTATATAAGCCACGTCTACGGCCCTATGCTGTACATTCTACAAGATTGATGGACTGAACACATCGACTCCAGGCTGAGGGACTGATTACCTCAAACTCCTCCTCTCCTTACACCCTTCTACTTTGTATTGGACTGATGAAGCCACTCTGTGGCGAAACATTTCCTGAATAAAGATTCCCATATGTTGCATAAGTGTCTCAATCTTCAACATGTCGGTTTTTCAAACCATTCATCACAATTACGACCTTGTTGACACAGACCATCATTTGTTATGGACAAATTTTTATGGAGCAGGGATGAACTCTGGCACATTTAATATCTCCTTGAAGTATTACAGGGATATTAAGTTATAAATATTACCTTTGTATACCTACGGTATAATGATTATATGCAATTTGTAATTTGTCGATTATAAATACAATTTACATAAATGTGATGTAAAACCTCTGTGTACGATTTAATCTGAATAAGTCAGTTATAGTTTCTCACTTCACCTTATCTAAAGTTCATTAGAGTCACATTATTATTATTATTCTTTAATCATTCATGGGGAGTGCTAAACCTGTAGGGGGATTGTTTAGCTCATAGGGAAGATAATCAGGTTCGATCCAAGAAAAAGGATGATAACTCTCAGTTCCCTGAGCAAGAGTCCCTCACGGGGGGGCAGCGTCAGAGTCCCTCACGGGGGGCAGCGTCGGAGTCCATCACGAGGGGCAGCGTCAGAGTCCATCACGGGGGGCAGCGTCAGAGTCCATCACGGGGGGCAAGCGTCAGAGTCCCTCACGGGGGGCAGCGTCAGAGTCCCTCACGAGGGGCAGCGTCAGAGTCCCTCACGGGGGGGCAGCGTCAGAGTCCCTCACGAGGGGCAGCGTCAGAGTCCCTCACGGGGGGCAGCGTCAGAGTCCCTCACGAGGGCCAGCGTCAGAGTCCCTCACGAGGGGCAGCGTCAGAGTCCATCACGAGGGGCAGCGTCTAGAGTCCTCACGAGGGGCAGCGTCAGAGTCCCTCACGAGGGGCAGCGTCAGAGTCCCTCACGGGGGGCAGCGTCAGAGTCCCTCACGAGGGGCAGCGTCAGAGTCCCTCACGAGGGGCAGCGTCACACAGAGTACCGAGAGATTAATTAGCAGAGAAGCTCCTTCCGGTTATGGGAAAGTTTAAGCTAAGTTTTGGGAATCTAAGTTGAATGATTAGTTATACTGGATGGTTATTGTTTTCTTTATTTTCTTCAACAGAGGCTGTGGCTGGTGATATTAATTGTCGCTGAAGTGAGTTCATTTGTGGACCCGCCTCCCCTCACTCTGCCCGGGGATGTTATTATTGGTGAGTCACATTATTATTATTATTATTATTATTATTATTATTATTATTATTATTATTATTATTATTATTATTATTATTATTATATTTTGAGGGAAGCGCTAAACTCGGGGTCATGCTGGGCCTGGGGAATGGGACGTAATCAGCCCCAATTATATTTTTTCATAAATCTGTTTGATGTTTTTAAAAGCAGTTGTGATAAGACATGTTCAGTGATTGTGTTGTTGAAGAGCATTTTTATAATTCACTAAAAATATCAGACTGAAAAGAGGTGATAGAGCCTAGAGGACCGAAAGTGTTAGAATATGATTTTTAGATTTAGATTTTGCCACCGAAGTGGCTAGTTTATTGTGCACCCCATATCCATCCTGTGGACGGTAGCGCGAGAGCATATGGATACACAAAAGGCCTAGGAACTAGGCCCCAAAGGGTTAACAGGAATACATATGGATTTATATCTACATATCTATAGTTCACTTATCTGTTACAAGCAAATTTAGGAAATTTGCTTAGTATATCTGGTATCTTATTTTCATTAATAAGATATCTTGACATGTCACATAGGTTATTATACTGTCTGTCTCTGTATTCCTCAATGAGTGGACAATTTAGCACATAGTGTTCAAGAGCGTGACCATATGCCTGATTCAAGCATAATTTAACCTTTAGTTTGATTCATCATCTGTGTGTCTCCCAAACTGCCAGAAGTACTTGTACCCAAGCCATAGCCTGGCCACTACAACACAGTCCGTCCTGTTCACGATTGCAAGTTTCTCCAAAACATACTTATCAACGTTCCCTGTTATCATATTGGTTTATAGATCTACTCAGGCTTCTAACTGCATTTCCGAATAACAATCATTTTCATTATTACTTCTCTCCTAATCTATTCCTAATGCTAGACACAGTTATACCAAAGTTATATTCTACGTTCTCCTTCTCGATACTCTTCTTGGGCTAACATATCAACTTTTTCAAAAGGATAATCCAATGTGTGATGGGATCCACAGCTAATTGTACAATAAGTTCCTTGTCCCTAATTTTTGAGTACTATCCCCTGGCTTCCCCATGATCAAGTTGTTTGGAGTCATATCTGAGCCAAGAGCCTTTCAATGATGACATCGAAATCAGTAATGATGATAGAGTAAGCTCATTGTCATAGGTTAGCTTCAGCGCCAATAGGATTTTGCAAACAATTCAGTTTGCAGTGGTAACGCCCATTTGTTTAATTCTTATGCCTAACTCAACAATTTCATATCGTTTCTGAACTAGGAGTGGCAAAAAGACAGATGCGCCCTCCGAAAGACTCCTGTTTAGATCCATCATTTAATATAACTTGTGATACCTTGTTAATACCAGCTAGGTGAAAATTTCTTCTGACAGTTCTCGAACAAGAGATTTAAGGAAGGGATTACTAGCAATGAGCTTCTTGGGAGGGACTTGTAGTGTATGTGATATTAAATGAACACATCTTCCATGAGGGGTGAAATGCTCTTGTTGCCTACAGTGAAACAGTTCATGCAGGTTTAAAAAACTTAATGCAATTGCACCGTTTCACATCCAAATAGTATCTGTGTGGTATTTACCTCTAGACACTTGGTAAAGATTCACTGTGACAGTGTCTGGTTCGTTTTCTCAACATTCTAATACCGAGTACAGTGTTTAATTTCAACAATCCTACACTGATACTAGAAATACCAAGCTCCTTCCTCATGTAAGAACTTTGTAGATCTGGACAGCAAGAATAATTGTTTTCCCTTGCAAAAAGAAGCTTCATTTTGCATTAACTCCAAGGGTCGGAGAGAACTTTCCTAGCTATTTCAACATGAGAGCAGCATAATCAATTTAAGGACCTAACATAGCTATGTTACATCCATTCTCACTATTCTCACATTTCACCATAGTTGGGATTGTAGCCAGCAACAGCTTTGAGAGCATTTAGCCTAGCTTACATTTCTTGTTTAGCTGTGGTAAGTGGATTTGTTTAAAGGGTACATCTACACCCAAGATAATCTGTAAGTTTTTAACGTAGACTAATGATTTCACCCTGCAAATAGATGGGTGGGATGTCGTCTGCAGTGTTAATATCTTAGTTTTTAGAGGAAGATATTAAGAGGCCTAGTCGATTACAAATTGCATTTGAACTTCATTAGAAAGTATTCATCTTCTTAAGCCCTGTTTGTAAGGATCATGATATTCATCAGCATAGCTTATAGCTATATGTTAAGGGAGGCAGGTAGCGAATTTAGGAGAGCATTAATCAGAATATTAAATAGCAAGGGACTAAGAACTCCTCCCGGCGGTGTACCTAAAGACATTTCTTTAGAATCACATCTGAAGCCTTGGTAAAGTAAGACAGAGGATACTCTATTTGACAGTATCCTATATCCAGCAGTGTAAGCTACCACCACTATTCTTTTTGGCTAGTTCATGTAGAATTACGTTCAGTTCGCAATATCAATGCAGATTTAGATCAAGAAAAGTGTAAAACAGTAGAGGTGTGTGCAATGAGAAAGGTGGAATACAGTTCTGCCACACTTTTAACCTTTCATGAACCCATAGAGGTAGGGGGAAAGATGATCTCAGAATCTGTAGTACAGTCTGTTAAGCATCATTCTTTTCAAAAGTTTTACAAAGACAATCTAGTTTAAGGAGATCGGCCTAAATGTATCAGCTGTAGGGGCTTAGGGAATAGGCACAATGAGACTAATGCCAGAAGTAGGAAGAACGCCCTCAATGTAACGATATTACCAGTGCCAACAAAGGGATAATCAGGCACGTGCCTGAGGGTTCAGAGTAATATCATAGGTTTAACCATCCTCTCCAGGAGCAGTGATCGACCTTTGGATAATGCATAAACTAATTCATACTCCGGTAAAGGGCAATCACTCGCATCAATATTTTGGCTCAAAAACATATCATATCAACATTTCCTTCAGAAGTACTCTCTAAATTTTTTCTAAATGAATGGAATGCTTTCATGCCTGGAATAGGTTTGGACAGTCCATTTATGAGGTCATTTGCTTTTTCAAGAGGAAAGGATGATCAACAATGCCAGTCTTTTTCCCTGTTATTTAATTTATACCTTTCCCACGCCAAACTCAAAGGTGGACCTATATACTCCACTAACAAACTGTTCATTCTGTTGCCTAAGTTCTTCCTTTTCAATATCCATGCATTTGTTAGTCAGCTTGGAACGTTTCTGAGCAGGTCTGGTTTCTACATCACGGTATTACTTTACCAATCCTCCTACGCAGTGTTCGATTGCGCCTGTGGATCAATTAAAGTTATTTACATTGGTTTTTATTGTTATTATAGTGGAGGTTTTTGTTCCTATTCTGCCCACTTGATCAGTGAGAACACTCTCATAGTGGTAAATAAATCATCAATAAATTTTTGTGCGACAATGGGCTCGTAATTCTTATACATTGATCCAAGGGTTAATAAAGTTGTCTCTGTGTTCTGGTTTGAGAATAAGTTTTCCTCTTCTGTATTTAGCTCCTTATTGCTGGAGATGTGATAAGATTGACAGTTGTTAGTCTTGGATTGATTCAGATAGAAGATCATCAACTATGACAGGAGTCATGCATCGTATAGTATTAAATCCAAGACACAGATCTAGTATGCCACCATAATGTGGTAGGCTCAGTAGTGCCCACAATTTCGAACATTATCAATGCTCATTTAGCAATCTCACTAGTTTTAGTTCCATTGTGTTTGGTTATAGACCACCAAAAATCTTATGTCTCATTAAAATCTCCAAGAATGATGTTATGTTCACTATTGAATGCGATCTGGTAAAGCATCATGTCGAAGCTGGTTCGCTGGGGCATAGAGATTAACATGTTAAGAAAAATCCGCCTGCATATACTTGACACCATGATACTGCATTTAACTTGACTCTGCAATGAAAGGGAGTGAATGTGGCAAGCCTTTCTGACATACTCACACAACCGTTGGTTGACCTTAGGTATATAAGCTGCATATCCAGGCAAGTTTGGTGGAGGTGCACCATCTTCCAATCTACATTCCTGCAAACAGATGACATCAATATTCTTGGTTAGCACTAATAGATGTAAGTCCGTCAACCGCATCCTGATGAAGCAATGTTCCAGAAAAGATTTGTAATGTATCCAATGTAGTGAGTTATTAACAATCTCTTGCTCATACGATGAAAAACTTTATGCTTTGAACTACAGAGTGCAGATACTTAAGAGCAAATAGCATAGTTTTTACGTCTTTATCTTCAGACCTTTATTTTTAAGCATTTTTCGCATTTTGCAGCCAGTGATAAGGCAATTTTTGAGGCAAGAGTTATGGGCTTCTTTCTCACAAATTGCTGAAGCTGAACGGAGATTGCTGCACTTTTGACCTCATCACCATGCTAAGAGCATCATCCTGATTATCATATATTTATTAAACTTGTCAGGATCTGTTCAATATGCACAATTTTTTCTGGAAAGTTGTTATAATATAAGGAAGGGTCGGCGAATACAATGATCTCTCCGGAGGATGGCACTTCTGGGTTAGTGCTTTCTTTAACACCTATCACCTTAACATTACATGGTTACATTATTTCTCTGTTCAGCATTCATTGCAGGTAGGTCCCTTGCCTCCTGACTTCATCTCCAATTTCCAGGGAGGTTACCTGGTGGTTCGTCTGACTGTTGCAGTTGTGTGATTGGGAGAAATGACAAACTCATCCCCATATTCCGGTGTAGCCATAGGGTAATCAGTATGTGGCAACCAGTAGTTCCATATGTGCTAGACAGGGATGGCAAGCCTCCTCCACAGCTGGTGTGTGTGATGGCATACTGGTATCACCAGAATCCTTTGCAGTGATGTGGGTTCTTGCACACCTTTTGCAAGGTTCAGTCCAGATCTGGCTGTGGTAGACCTGATGCCCTCATCCTCAGTTACCATAAAGGACTGTTATCAGGTTTTACATCGAAGTTGTTTTGGTTCTGACGCATTCCTTGTGGGAAACTGTAACCCCAACTTCTTTACAGTTAATACACTTAAATTTCGGCTGTCAGGGCCTACTGTGCATTCTCTAGTGGAAAATTGTTTCCCAGCACACTTACCACACCAAGAAATGTAGTATGCCACAGTCCTACTGCAACCAATGGCCATAGTGCAGGCATTGTAACACCTACGTTGAGGGGTAGGTACACTTCGATGTTTAGGAAACTAACCATGCACCCAGATATTCCGGGGGAGGGCACAGACCCACCCAACGGGCAATAATTTTTGGGATTTTCCTTTACGTCTTTTAGGCTTGATGATATGCCACTTATAGTCAGATGGGAATGTCCATGCAGAGAGGGGTATCCAAAGATTATGATACTGACCCTTTTTTAAAGTGGTGAGAGTCAGATGGAGGTCGGAGCGCTTAATATCCCCATAATGATACTAAGTAGATCATTAATCAGCTCTTTATTCTGTTCCACAAACACAAGTGTGTGTGTTTTTTCCTAAAATTGGATCCTTGAGCTATGATGCTTGGTTTACAGCTTCATTAGCCATGCACACTTAGCAGCAGCGAGGGTGTTTTTGTCAGGGAAGTTCAGCTTAACACATCTTCCGTTGAAGAAAGACTTCTTGCAGCCCCCTGTGCACCTAGGACGTTTAGTATCAAACCCATTGTGTACGATCCAAGTGATCTGACTACGTCGACGCTCTAGCCTTCTCACTTTTATCTCTTTTGTTTTACTTTTAAAGGTCTGGAAGCTATCTTCATTTCCATCACCTGCAGAAATAGGTTCCTCTATGACAGTGCCATGGTTGCCAGTGATGATATCTGGTTAAGACTCACAACACAAGAAAATCCACTCTTATCCTTTCCCTTATAGCTTATGCAAGACAAATATTCACTACAAAGTCAAAGTCCAAAACAGATCACAAGACACAAGTGCACCAGATCATGAACACCTCCAACCATACTCACCCAGACCAGCCACCACTCAAATACGACACACACCCCACCAAAAACACTCAGAGACCTCTTGTTAATGAGTGGTACTAATATGGTACATAATAATATATAATAGATGGTACAGCGAGGTCTTACACATTATCACATATAACAAAGATAAAAAGAGAGAGAGAGAGAGGAGAGAGGAGAGAGAGGAGAGAGAAGAGAGAGAGAGAGAGAGAGAGAGAGAGAGAGAGAGAGAGAGAAGAGAGAGAGAGAGAGAGAGAGAGAGAGAGAGAGAGAACAAAGTAGGTAATATTGAGCATAAAATTAGAATTCTGACATACATCACATTAAACATGAGGTTCAAATTCAATGATAACTTCCACTTGAGTTAGTTCAGGCTACTGCCACCTAATGTACCTCACTGAAATAATAATATAGCAGACATCACAATGAATGCTGAAGACAACCTCTTACCCCAACCATAGATTGTAAACAGTATTACTAAAAAAAAAAAAAAAAACTAGGTAATGTTACAATGACAATGAGATAAATCACTCTGGTCGACTTCCTTGGTCCATCCTGGGTAACTCACACGTTACTATGTTATACATGTATGCAAGCATAAGTGTGCAGCTGTAGATAGATGAACCAGTACCTAAACAATCTCACTTACACACGCGTTACTATGTATGACAAGTGTTACCAAGTACACCAAGTGTACACTTTATCACTTAGAATACACTTTTGTTGATGTAAATATAGGTGAGAGTGCTACACCGCTGGTCGTAATAAACACACTCAACTTCTGGTAAAAAAAAAATAATTGGTATATAACTGAGAGGTGAGCATCTGTATATCTGCTGACAACTTACTTTAATCTCCATCAGTGCTGGCTTTTTGGACACCCTACTAAATGTTGCAGGTCGTGCACAGAATGCCCTGTCTGTACCTTCCATACTCGTGTTAAATCTTGCCAACTGTGTACCGCTAGTTTGAATTGTGCTGGGGCTCATCCCTCCAGCTTCCGTTAGCGTCCTGTATTCTTTACTGAATACGAGATGAGCCACTTAAAGTAGAATCAGGGCGTGTACGGGCAGACCATAGACCATCCTTGTAGAACTGGTCTGCCCAGAGGTTATGTTCACATGGATTCTTGACTTATATTTGACACAGCAATTCTCCTCTATTTGGTGTGCCTAAATTTGAGTCTCTTCTGAAACTTCTACCTTGGCTTCTAATTCCATGCAGTCTACACAATCTGCTCTTCTTGCTCCTCATCTGTAGCAGTGGAGGTTCATACGATGTCACCATCTTCTGAGTCTTTTCCGGTTTCCCAAGCAGCGTCAATTTCTCGGTATATTCGTTTTTGCGTGCACCTCTTCTGCCGCTACTGAAGTTTCTTCGACTCGTTCCCCCTCACTTCCCAATGAATGTCCCGTCTTCAAGATGGGACATTCTTTGGGATGCCTGAAGCTTAAAATTTGGCTTGGTCCTCACGATTAACTTAGGACAGTTGAATTACTGTCACATCTTCACTGTTACAGGTATGGTGGGGGACCTTCATGATGGTGAGGAGGCGTCTGGAGGTTGTGGTGCATTGAACACCCGAGCTGTTGAACGTGTGGGTGCTGCTCAGTGGGCTCTGGCTACTATCAATAATCAGTCTCAACATGACTATACTATCGGTATGCATCAAAACAACTTTTATTAATTAACTAGTTACTGTAGTCCTTTGTACTTTCTGTTATTTATTAGTTTTATGCTATTTGTTATTTTTAATTATAACCTAGAAATGTATTCATGTTATATAATACAGCATTGTATACTGTATGTATGTCATAAATTTGAAATGTGTTCATATACATAAGTACTGAAACCCCAGATGCTTCATAGTGTTTACCCCTCAAGGAAGGTTCCTTGATGTTGGTGAGGGGCTCTTGATTTAGGGAATTGGATCTGTGCTCCAGTTCCCCGAATTAAGCCTGAATGCCTTCCACATCCCCCCCAGGCGCTGTATAATCCTCCGGGTTTAGCGCTTCCCCCTTGATTATAATAATAATAATTCATAGTGTTTATCCCTCCTTCTACTGGACGCAGTAAGCCTTCCAGTTCACACTTTGCATTCCACTTATTTACCATTGGAATCTCCACCTGTGAATAATCTCAGTAGCTTCTTCTCAACCATAGCGTCAGATGTTTTTGAAGTTTTTACGAAATAAACAAAAATTAATACCTTGAGTTATATGGAGTATTTACTCAGGTTGAATCGTGCACGTGAGATATACAAGATGTATTTATATATAGTATTATGCCTGTGTGATCTGTTGCAGCTCTTCATGAATTTTGTTTTTAGCTCCAGGTTAATATTTAGAGTGAGTGTTCTCTATATGTACAGTAATTTTAATGAAAGTTTAATTCCATTCAGAATTACTGCACAAAACCACATTTCAGAAAATATTTTTATTTATTTACTGACTACCGGTACCAATTCAGCCTTCACCACAAGCAATATATATATATATATATATATAATATATATATATATATATATATATATATATATATATATATATATATATATATATATATATATATATATATTATATATTATATATATATATATTCCTTTAGGTATTCGCGTGTATGATGCTTGTGGGAACCCAGACTTGGCCATGAGGCAGACAGTGAAGCTACTCCAGGAGGCGCAGCCACCTCATCCTCCTTTACTCGGTATGGAGTCTTCTTTCTCACATATTCACTATCACTGTGATTAATTTAAAAACTTGTAGTTTGTGTTACATAATTTACATTATATTAACATATACAGTACTCCAAAATATATCACAGTTTGTCAAGATAGACCCCTGGCAGTATTCAAGCTGGCACTGGACAAGCACCTAAAGTCGGTACCTGACCAGCCGGGCTGTGGCTCGTGCGTTGGATTGCGTGCAGCCAGCAGTAGCAGCCTGGTTAATCAGGCTCTGATCCACCAGGAGGCCTGGTCACAGACCGGGCCGCGGGGGCGTTGACCCCCGGAACTCTCCAGGTAAACTCCAGATGTACTGGAGGCCAGTTATAGGCCTAACATCCATACTGAGTATTCTACCTGTATATTTGCCCACTCTTCATAAAAATGTTATAAAAAAAAGTGGTTTGTCTAAAGAAATTTAAATAGGTTGTTGAACATAAGGAAATGTGACAATCAGAAATGTATTCCTTTACTAAAATGTGCAGGTTATGGGATTAGGAGGGTGAGTATATCAGGTAAAGTGCATAGTAGTTATCATTGAAAGAAATAAGGATGGAAGATGAATAAAGAGGATTTAGGAAGGGTAGGGGATGTACAGACCAAGTGATTACACTAAAACATATAAGTGAACAGTGGTTAAGGGTAAGGAACCTTTTGTTTCATGTATGGATTTAGAAAAGGCATATGATAGGGTGGATAGGGAAGCGATATGACAGATGTTGCAGATGTATGAAATAGGTGGTAGGTTACTAAAAGCCATAAAGAGTTTTTATGTGGATAGTGAGGCTCAGGCTAGGACATGCAGGAGAGAGAGGGATTATTTTCCAGTAAAAGAAGGCCTTAGACAATGATGTGTGATGTCACTAGTTCTTTAATATATTTGATGATGGGGTTGTAAAATAAGTGAATGCTAGTGTTGAGGAGAGGCGCGGGATTACAAGATAATGATTTTGAAAGAACGTGACATAGTTGACATTGTTCTTTCGAGAGATTCTTAAGAGAAGTTTTAAAGATTGGTGGATAAATTTGGGTATGTAAAAGGAAGTTAAAAGTGAACACAGAAAAGAGTGACAATGAAAGATTTGATGTCTGGCTAGATGAAGATTATTATTATTATTATTATTATTATTATTATCAAAAAGAAGCGCTAAGTCACAAATAGAGGAAGGTTAATATGAATGAAGCACTGTAAATTTAGGGGGTGGACATGTCAGGAGATGGGTCTGTGAAAGACAAACTTAACAATAGAATAAACGAAGGAAGAAAATGCGGGTGGTGCATTGAGGCATCCGTGAAGACAAAACTTTTTTAAGATAAGATAAGATAAGATTTCGTTCGGATTTTTAACCCCGGAGGGTTAGCCACCCAGGATAACCCAAGAAAGTCAGTGCGTCATCGAGGACTGTCTAACTTATTTCCATTGGGGTCCTTAATCTTGTCCCCCAGGATGCGACCCACACCAGTCGACTAACACCCAGGTACCTATTTGCTGCTAGGTGAACAGGACAACAGGTGTAAGGAAACGTGTCAAATGTTTCCACCCGCCGGGAATCGAACCCGGGCCCTCCGTGTGTGAAGCGGGAGCTTTAGCCACCAGACCACCGGGTCATGGAAGCCAATAAAAAATGTACCAGAGTAAAGTGATATCAACACTTTTATGGAAGTGAAGCATTCCGTAGCTGCAGGCAGTAGAGACTCAGGTTTGAGAGCAATATAAGTGTGAGTATTATACAGAAAATTCGGAGCGTGAAGATTAGAAGACTTCAGGGTTACCAAAATTATAGCTTAGATGGCTAAGGAGGAGTTATTGAGATGATTTGAGCATTTAGAGAGGACAGAGCAGGATTGTAGGACTAAGAGGGGTGTTTAAATATGGGGAGGAAAGAAGTGAAAGGCTGGAGGGAGAGGGGTAAAAGAGCAAGAAGCTTTTGAGTGCTAGGGACTTGAACATCCAACAGGCTGGTGTGAGCACTTTAATTCGGATTAGTAACAAGAGGTATTTGTTTTGAGGCGCTGTTGAAGTGTCAGCAGGGTAACGCTTACGAAGGTTTCTCAGAAACCAGCTAGCAGGACTAGAGTCATGGAGGTAGGAAGTACAGTTCCTGCACTCTGAAGGAGAGTTGATGTTGCAGCTTGAGGGTCATTGGAACTGTGATGTCAGCATGGTTTTTGACAAGACAGCCAGTGAATGAATGACTATGTTCACCTTCCGTGGGACACGTCCAGTGTGTTTATTTGTATGTCTGTGCTTATATTATATATATATCATACTACATCATATATATATATATATATATATATATATATATATATATATATAATATATAATATATATATATATATAATATATATATATATATATAATATATATATATATATATATAATATTATTAACTTTTACAGGTGTAGTTGCTTTTGGGTCTGCTAAAGTGGTATTAGGGACAGCCACACCATTACATGCCTTCAACACCCCTATCATCATCACTGATGCTCGTGCTGCCCACACAGTTGTCCCTGATGATAATGTCTTCTCTACTGCTCCACATCTCACTGATCAGCTTCAGGTTGGATGCTGATTTCTCTCTGGTGCCGTAATACAATTACATGTATTTTGCTGGAAAGTAGTTATGGAATGCTAATGAGCTGTTTTTCCTCTGCTAAGTTTTAGAATTTAAACGGTGTGTTATGATATATTTACAAACAGGCACATTTTTAGTACTAATTACTGTATAATCACTATAATGTCTCAGATAAAGCTTTACGACTCACCTGTCAGTTGGTAGGTAAGACTCATAGGCAACAGTTAGGCAACTTCATTCCGAAACGTTTCGCCTACACAGTAGGCTTCTTCAGTCGAATACAGAAAGTATGCAGGAACAGTAGAGATGTGAAGACGATGTAATCAGTCCATCACCCTTGAAGTCGTAGAATTTGAGGTTGTCAGTCCCTCAGCCTGTAGAAGTTCAGTTCCATAGTCAGGAACTATTTTCTGAACTTCTACAGGCTGAGGGACTGACAACCTCATATTCTACGACTTCAAGGGTGATGGACTGATTACATCGTCTTCACATCTCTACTGTTCCTGCAATGCAACTTTCTGTATTCGACTGAAGAAGCCTACTGTGTAGGTGAAACGTTTCGGAATAAAGTTGCCTAACTGTTGCCTATGAGTCTTACCTACCAACCTGTCGGTATTGTATACCATTTTGATGTTCATCTGTCAGTACTAGCGACGGCGCCAGAATTTCTGAAATAGGGAGCTTAGGGGTGGCTATCTGGTCTCAAGGGGGACTAAGAGATTTGTTTTGTACCATTATTATTATTAGTGTTAGTGTTATTATTACTTTTATTTGGGGGAATGGGAATTATGAGTGATTAAAGCCCCGCCCCCCATTACCCCTGGCTCCGCCATTCTGTTTTTATTAATTAATTAATTGTGGAAACATTTGAGTGGAGAATTTCTTGCTTGAAGTTTAGAAAATGTCATGTTGGTTGTAAGAGTATAATTTATTTGCTAACCCAATTTCCAGGCAGTACTCTCTGCTGGTGTGCGTTTGGGTGGAGGAGTGATAGGTGTGCAGGTTGTGTGTAGCTGCAGTCATGCTTCACTAGTACTGCAGGAGAGGGCATCAAGGGCAGGTCTCAGGATTCTCAACTTGCTGCAAATTGAGAATGAAAACAATATAACAAAAAAGATAACACATTTTATCAATAGTGAAGTGGTAAGAGCATCTGTTTTTTGCATGCTATATTGAAAGGTAAATTATAAAAAATATATAGTGTATAACTTGCCTTTATTTTATAATTTTATAGAATGGCACAACATTTTTTTAATTCTCTTTGGTACTTTCCATAAATTTTTGGTACCTGATTTTTTCCACATAAACTGGTATGTTTCTATCAAGCATGAAAATTCTAACCTCTGTTGACCTTCAGATTTACAATATATGTAATTACCTAGAAGACTGCAATCATATTTTTATATTTGCGAATTCTGTGCCATCCTTTGTGCTCCTAGATTTTCTTATGTATATTAACTTTTTTTTTATCTCATTTTGCTGTTTTGTATATCACATTCAATTTAACCATCACTGAGATTTTGCACTAAAGTACATGCAATATACTTTTAAATGTGAGCAGCAGTTAACTTCCACTAACCTGTAGTGTGAAATGAAATACAGTAAACCCATTGTTTGTTAGACTGAAAAAGCTACTGATTATTTTCAGAGCAATGGTGGAGTAGTAATATTACTGCTCAGTGCTGCTGAGCTGAACATTTTCACTGCTGAAGTTGATAATCAAATGTTGAGGAAATCCAGACTCCGCTGGGTGCTCACGGCATTGGATGGAGAACCACTTACTGGAGACTTGCAAGAAGATCAGGTAATAGATATGTATTCCTCTCGTTAGGAAAAACTGTGTAATATGAATACTGGTAATGGTCATGCATTTCTCTCATTGTGAAATATCGTGTAATATGAATACTGGTAATGGACACACATTTCTCTCATTGTGGTAATGGTCATGCATTTCTCTCATTGGGAAAGATCGTGTAATATGAATACTGGTAATGATCATGCATTTTCTCTCATTGTGGTAATGGTCATGCATTTTTCTCATTGGGAAAGATCGTGTAATGTGAATACTGCACAGTAAAACTTAGCATATCCAGCAGTGTCAGGAGAAGGATTTAGGGAAACTGGTTAGCTAGACTTATGTCTTGGAAGTGGGAAGTACAGTGCCTGCACTCTGAAGGAATGAGGATGTGGCAGTTTGCTTGTCAGATAAAATGTGATGTCTATGAATATTTCTTTTTTTATGGGTTGCCCTACCTCAGTAGAAGACAGCCAGTGTGTGAAAAAATAAAAGATACTGGTAATTACAAATTATTAGGGTTTGGAACACTGAATATGTTAAGCTTTATTATATTAAAAATTGTACTATAAAATTTTGTCCAATATTGTATATTACAACCACAATTGCCTTTATAGTGCTGTCATAATATAAATATGGTATTTTCTTTTCTTTTTTACAGCTGAAGAAAAAGTTGGATGGTGGACTTTTAGTAGAAGTGCACTCACCTGTCATCCCTGGGTTCAGTCAGTATTTTGCTGCCACTGTTCATGCTAATACATCTTTGGTTGCTCCATTAGCCATGCAGTACATGAAGATTATATCACATTGTGACACTGAGGTAACTCAAGTAGATCTATGTGTTTTTGTACAATACTCACTTAGAATACCATGGATATTAACTTTCTGTGAAAACTCTTAACATTATTTTTAACATAAAAATCCTGTGCCTTTACCCTTAAATATTTTTTGACTTAGCAATGAGCTCATTATGCACGGTACTCCCACCTCCAGAACTCAAGTCCAGCTAACTACTTTCCCTGAATCCCTTCATACATTTTACATTGCTCACACTACAACATGTCAAATCGTGTTGTTATTATTATTATAATCAAAACTAAATGCTAAAACCCACAAGGGTCATACAGCGCTGTGTCGCATTTTAAGAATCACTTGTTTTCACTCATTCAAATCTTGCGCACACACATGCCTCTTAGATATTTAACTCATAGCACTGATAACCTCCTTTATCTCCATCCTCCAGCCCCACCTATTCATCATACTTTGCTCCATCTACTCTAAATGCCCAAACCACCTCAACAAACCCTCCTCAGTTCTCTGAATTATACTTTTTATAAATCCAACCCTTCTAATTTCCACACTTGAAATTTTTGGCATCATATTAACACTACACATTTCTCTGAAGCATATCTCCACTGCCTCCAGCCTCCTCCTTGCTGCAGCATTTAGAACCCATGTTTCACACTCATATAGCAGTGTTGGTACAAGCATACTTTGATATACAGTGGACCCTCGACCAGCGATGGCATCGATTAACGATAAATCTGACTAGCGATACATTTTATCGCAAAAATTTTGCCTCGATTAGCGCTAAAAAGCTCGACCAACACTATTCGTTCCGTCTGAGACGCGTCCACTTCTGGCCAGTGTTTACAAGCCAGCCAGCCACCGCGGTCGCTTCCAAGCATACAATCGGAACATTTCATATTATCACAGCCTTTTTAGTGATTGCACCTGCAAAATAAGTCACCATGGGCCCCAAGAAAGCTTCTAGTGCCAACCCTACAGCAAAAAGGGTGAGAATTACAATGGATATGAAGAAAGAGATCATTGCTAAGTATGAAAGTGGAGTGCGTGTCTCCGAGCTGGCCAGGTTGTACACAAAACCCCAATCAACCATCGCTACTATTGTGGCAAAGAAAACGGCAATCAAGGAAGCTGTTCTTGCCAAAGGTGTAACTATGTTTTCGAAACTGAGATCGCAAGTGATAGAAGATGTTGAGAGACTGTTATTGGTGTGGATAAACGAAAAACAGATAGCAGGAGATAGCATCTCTCAAGCGATCATATGTGAAAAGGCTAGGAAGTTGCATGACGATTTAATTAGAAAAATGCCAGCAACTAGTGGTGATGTGAGTGAATTTAAGGCCAGCAAAGGTTGGTTTGAGAGATTTAAGAATCGTTGTGGCATACATAGTGTGATAAGGCATGGTGAGGCTGCCAGTTTGGACCAAAAAGCAGCTGAAAAATATGTGCAGGAATTCAAGGAGTACATAGACAGTGAAGGACTGAAACCTGAACAAGTGTTTAATGGTGACACTGACAATGTTGTGAAACACTTTAGGGATGTCATAAAGGAACGGGAGGTACAGGCCTCTATGGGCAGATATGTTGTGCGACAGAGGTCCAGTGACTCTCAAGCTGGTCCTAGTGGCATTAAAAGAAGAAGGGAAGTAACCCCGAAAAAGGACTTGCCACCTCAAGTCCTAATGGAAGGGGATTCCCCTTCTAAACACTAAGACCATCAACACACTCCCCTCTTCCCATCCCATCAATCATCACCAGATCTTCAATAAAGGTAAGTGTCATGTAACTGTGCATGTCTTCTTCAGTTTGTGTGTATTAAAATTAATATTTCATGTTTTAAAATTTTTTTTTTCAATACTTTTGGGTGTCTTGCACGGATTAATTTGATTTCCATTATTTCTTATGGGGAAAATTAACTTGACTAACGATTATTTTGACTAACGATGAGCTCTCAGGAACGGATTAATAGCGTTAGTCAAGGGTCCACTGTATTCCTCTTTGCCTCCATACATGAAGTTCTTTTTTCCACAAGTGCCTGAATGTCTTTATATAACCAACCACCGACAAGTCCATGCCCAAATATCTGCACACATTTACTTTTTCAGTACTCCTTCCCTGGAATCTGTTATTCCATTTTTCATTTCCTAGATTTTTTAACTGCTCTCATCACCTTGCTCTCTTCTGTATTTACTTTGTTTTCTTCTTTTACATGCCCTCCCAAATTCCTCCACCAGTCATCACAACTTCTCTACCAAATTGCCCTTAGTGTTATTGGCAGAAAGGAACTGCGACACATCACTCTCTAATTCATTATCACTTAATCCTACACTTTTCACCAATCTAGCATTCACTTCTTTCACAACCCCTATCTTTAAATATATTAAATAAACATGGTGCTATTGCACATCCTTTTCTAAGGCCTACATTTACTGGAAAATAATCCCTCCCTCTCCTGCATACCCTAATCTCATACTGTATGATATTCTCTTGATAGAGATAGCTAAATAGAGCTTAACTCTTTACATAACAAACTGAAAGCCAATGGGATAACCATGAAACACACTGTATATTTTAGCCTCATTCAGGGAGACTTTTCAGATCTATTATACTTGTGTTCCATATTTCTCTCCAAGCATTTTCTCACCTTGCATTATTAGGTTTAGGCTGCCCGAAATGCCCTGGCATGATAGTGGCTTTCTTTGTGCTTAGCAAATCAAAATTGTAAACTATGCAAAGAAATAAAATCTTTAATCCTTAATTGTTTATTGCACCTTATTCCAAGCCTCTTTACATAGGTTTTTAAGGGGTGATGTACAAAACAAAGAATAATATTTAAAAAATGGCATCTTTTAGGCTCTTGCAGTGCAGTCATTATCACCACTGCCACAATGCTCAGGCCTCCAGGTGAAGGAATTGACTAAATTAGTGAACAGCAATCTGACCACAGCCACTGTCAAGGCGGTGTCTTCCCTTGCAGCTGCATTCCGTCTAGTACAGATAGAAAGATGTTCTACTGGGGTACACTGTCTGCAAGCTCTGCGCCAAGATCTACACCAGGGTGAGTTATTACAAAAAAAGCTAATTTAATCTTACTGTATGTTGTATTTTTTGGAATCGTGTGCCTCTACCTCTTTCATATAATGAACTCAGAATCCTTTGTGTATGTACGTATTATGATTAAATTATATTGTTATTTACTTCAATATTTAACTAGGAAAGGATGGAGGGAGGCGGTCAAAGAGGTTTTTTGTGCAACTGGCTTGGACATACAGCAGGCATGTGTGAGTGTGTTAGATAGGAGTGAATGAAGACGAATTGTTTTTGGGACTTGACGAGCTGTTGGAGTGTGAGCAGGGTAATAATTTGTGAATGGATTCTGGGAAACTGGTTAGCCAAACTCAAGGCCTGGAGGTGGGAAGTACAATGCCTGCACTTTAAAGGAGGGATTTGGAATATTTCCTGTTTGCAGTAACATCTGAACTGAACT